ACACACACACACACACACAGAGAGAGAGAGAGAGAGAGAGAGAGAGAGAGAGAGAGAGAGAGACAAGGCATGATGTGATACACACACACACACACACACACACACACAAAGAAGGCATGATGTGACACACGCACACACAAAGAAGGCATGATGTGACACATGCACACACAAAGAAGGCATGATGTGATACACACACACATAAAGAAGGCATGATGTGAAATCCACATATTTTTATAAACATTTTAAAAACAGTTGGGGCCTAGGAGGAGGTAAATAGTTCTTTATAGGTGCTTCCTTGGAAGAGAATAATTTAGTTCTTATAGAATCAGTTTCGTTCCTATGAGGATGCACTAAAATAAAAGGAGCCTGGCATCCCTTTTCTCCACTCTTATGTGTCTTCTAGCCTATGTGATACCATCTGCAATGATATCCCTAACCACAGCCAAATAGATATTAGCTCCATGGTCTTCATTTCAAAGACTGTGAACTAAATAATCCTTTTGTCTTTATAAAGTGGGCATTTGGGTATTTTTTTTGTTTGTATCTTTGTTTTTGAGAAAGGGTCTCACTGTGTAGCCCTAAGTGCCCTGAAACTTGCTATGTAGACCAAGCTAGTCTCAAATTCGCAGATATGCCCGTACTTTTGCCTCCTGAATGCTAGGAGTAAAGGCATCTGCCCATGCCCAGCCTTGGGTATTTTGTTAAAGCAGCATGTAACAGACTATGAAATCACCTGATGATTGACTTACCATGTGATATGTGATTGTTCAGGATTAAGTTATCTGGATTTTTCTTCAGATACAATGGAGGGGACATCTGTAACTTTGCCTGTTTACAAGCCCCTGTACTTGTTTGTGTGGGGGAAGGGAAGCACATTGGTAGCATTTGCTTCATCTTAACTTTCTCCCCAGTCTAGCTGTGGCTTCTGAGTGCAATACACAGTAACCTAGATCTGATAATAAATGAGAACATTTGGCAGAGGTAAGATATCCATAACCTGTGAGTAGTCAAGCCCCAGGATTCATATTTTTTTTTTGCTCTGCCAGTAACTCCCACCCCACAGTATAGATTCACTCTCTAATGCAGACTCTTTTCTTTCCTATTCTAAGAATTTAAAAGTAGCCCTTTGTCCTTAAAACCATCCTATGATTGCTGTTACCCAGTAACTACTTTCTGGACTGCTTAATGATATGTCCTATGCTTGTTCGGCTCCATTGCTCCAGGCCACTGTGCATCCTTAGCTCTGTCTTCTTAAGGATAAAACACTTTTCCCCTACACAACAATCTCTTGTGAGGTTGTGTTTTCTTTTGGCATTTAGTCATATGTGCAACTTAATCAAATGAATCACTGGGTCCTATTCTAAAGATCCTATCCTGCTGTCAAGAGCCTCCTTGAGCTTTCGTTCAGACACTGAAATTTCCTTCCTCAGAAGCCTTTTGTGTCTATGCCTACATCTGGGTTTCCAGGCTTCAACTGATGCAAATGTGACATCCTGATTAGGATAGCACCATCTAATGCAGTGCCCCACTGTGTAACTGATCTGCAAACAGATCAAACGATTCAAAGCAGCAGAGAAAAGAATGAGGAGATCTTCCTTAGAGCTCTGTTCTCTCACCTAGGTAACTGGAAGACCTGTCAAGAAAGCAGGCATACCTCTCAGAGGGTGGAGTACCTTCAAGTGGGAGTTTCTTCTCCAATGAGTTCTCAGTGTTGCTGGTACTACAGGGGGTGTAATGGAGAAGAGAGCACAACATGAGCCAGTGGGACCCTCAGTTCCTTTGACCAGCAGGAAAAAAAAAAGGCAGAGTATGGATATGTATGGGTTACTATGGAAACGTCCAGAAGCCCATACTCTGAAGAAATCAGAAACTAGATGTACTGGCTAGTTTTGTCGAGGTGACACAAGCTTGAATCATTTCAGAAATGGGAACTTCAAGTGAGAAAATGCATCCATAGATCAGGCTATAGGAAAACCTGTAGGGCATTTCCTTAATTAGTGATTGATGGGGGAGAACCCAGCCCGTTGTGGGTGATGCCACCCCTGGCCTGGTGGTCCTGGGAGCTCTAAGTAAGCAGGCTGAACAAGATATGAGGAGCAAGTCAGTAAGCAGCACCCTCCATGACCTCTGCATCAGATCCTGCTCCAGAGTCTGCCCTGTTTAAGTTCTTGTCCTGACTTCCTTCAGTGATTAAAAGTGTGAAATAGACCCTTTTCTCCCCAACTTCATTGCTTTATCACAGCAACAATAACCCTAACTAGGGCAGAAATTGGTACCAGGATACTGGGGTATTGCTGTGACAGAGCTGACCATGTTTTGGAGAGGATCGTGGAATGACTTTGGAACTCTGGGTTAGAAAACCTATTCACTGTTCAAAGCTTGGTGAGCTGTTCTGTGGGAACTTGGAAAGTAAAAATGCTGACAGCAATGCAGATAATGGAGGCCTGGCTTATGAAGTTCCAGAGGGAAGTTTGAAAGAGTCCCTTAATGACTCTTATAAGGGCTTTTACATATTCTGAGTTAAGAATCTGTGGTTCTAGTTAGCTGAGGCTGAAATATTATCTGTGATTAACAAAAGACTAGGACCATTAAAGTGAAACTAGTTTTGCTGAGATTCCCGATGTTGGTCAGAAATCAGCTCTGATTAAGAGACCAGTGTCGTTGAGGTGAAATCTAGTGGGATGTGTTTGCTAAGAGTCAGCACACAGAAGCTGTGTTCCAGAGGTAGCCAAGGCTGCACCTTGTGCTGGTAGCTGAACTTGGTACTTTAAGAGTAACCAGGTGGTACTGGATTTAAAGGCATGAAGGGGTGGGTCATGGGGAACAGCTGAGGCTTGGCACTGTGTGGCAGAGCTGCAATCCCTGAAGAGAGCCCTGGGAAGGCTACTGGTGAAAGTGCAGTCCAGTTGCAGCAGAAGACCCCAGGATTTTGGAGATGCCAGTACCATGGGATGACCACCAAGAATAGCAGTAGTAGAATGGAGCCAGCCAGAGCCTAGAAGATAAGCTGTGTGTGCTGCAGAGGGCAGAACTGGAGAAGTGACCCAAACCCTTTGGAGAAGCCCAGAAGATGGTGAATGGATTCCAGACATTGGATACTGAGTTAACAGTTGGAGTTTGGTTTTACTTTGATTTGATTGTGACTGTGCCTTGGTTCTTCCCTATTGAAGTAAAAAAACAATTATTTTTTTAGGCACCCATAATTGAGACATTGGATTTTTTAAGTTTCAATTTTAGAAAAGACTGGATATTTAAAGAGACTAAACTTTTAAAGACTTTGGGGCTTTTAAATTATAGAATGTTTGTAATATAATATAGATATTAACATGTGATCTTGAGGATGAATAATAAAGGAAAGGTTATGGCTTAATAGTGCAGTGCTTGTGTGTCAAGATGACAAAGGGTCATTCGTGTTGGCTAGTTTTATATCAACTTGACACAAGTTGGAGTGAGGGTGGGTGGTATAGCACTGAAAAGACATGCAAGTACCTTCCTGCGTGACATCAGAAAGCGAACAGACAAGGTGATCAGTGAAAAGGTGTCTGGATATGAAGCCACCTAGCATGAAAGAACATGGGGGCTAAAGATGATTTTCTATCCACCTCACTACACAGAAAATCTGGAGACCCACAAGTCAGGCCTCAGTAGGCATCTGCAGTATGCCTTCATTACCCAGCAGCTACTTTCTACTAAGTCCTGAGTGAGGGAATAGGATGCAAGAATGAAGTCAGCATTGGGCCTGGTACAAGGTAGTTGAAACTTGTTCTTACCTGCCATAGGGTGAAAACACTGGCTTTCCAGAAGACACTTCACTAGTATTCATGTACTCCTTCACGAAGAGAATCCCTTTGCTGTAGAAGGAGCACAGCAGAACAGGACGTGTACTAGTAGATTCCAGGGGACTGAGCCTGGCCCACAGCAGAGGGTCAGTACCCCCTGCCCAGTTTGATGGAAATGCAGAAGCTCATGCAAAGGCCTAGGGTAGAGGGGTGGTGGGCTCCACAAGCCAGGCTGCAAGGGTAGCCAGAGACAGAAATGCCAGGCTATTGATGCCATTGCACACATGGGCTCAAATCTTTGCTCCTGGGTTCATTCTGTGTTTGGTCTGAGATGTAAAAGGTGGCTTCCTGAAATCAATGGTAGCATGCCCTCTTCCATGGAAACCTCAAGCCCCCAACCCTCTCCCAGACTTCTGTGCTTCAGTCCCTCTGCTTTCCTTTCCCTCTTCTGTGGCTGAGTTTTTCCCCCATTCTACCCTCAACCAGAATATTATCAGTGGCAAATGACAGAGACAGCTGGCTCTTTCTGCTCAGCACCTTACTTGTAGCATTTACCTGCTACTTCACATTCCCTAACCAATCATGTTTCAGGTCCTACAGGCCACCTTACTGTATGCTTTTGGAAAGCCTCTGCAAGCTTTGGAAACTTGCTATTCTGCTGGCTCAGTGTAATCCCATTGATGACCCTCAATTCCATGCTCTAGTCCCATGGCCTATCATTAGCAGAGAACTTTTTTGGTATCTCAATACATACCTCTCACTCAGCAGGCTCCCTAGAATGGCACTCCTTCTTGTAAGCTAAAAGGTATTCAGTAGTACTGCTGAAGGAATAGATGAGAGAGAGAGAGAGAGAGAGAGAGAGAGAGAGAGAGAGAGAGAGACATACAGAGGGAGAATGACCTGGCCTCCATGACTTTCATGGGTCTTCCCAGGTATGTCCCCCAGGGAAGCTAGCAAGGACCCACAGATGGCAAACCCCTGCTGCTGGTTGCATCTTCAAGTGTCCTATATGTTCCACTTTCTCTTCTTGTTGAGATGAGGAGAAGAAAAGCAGGCTACAGGACCATTTCCAATCCTAACAATAGGCTTGGAGAGTGTAAGATTTATACTTGAGGAACTAAGAACTATACTGTATCTGCCCATTTGATACTGGGATGCTAGGAGTGGGAAGAGACATCATAGAGAAAACAACACAGAACAAAAGTGGCATCCTTTACTTGCAAGGAGGTTATAGGTAACCTCCATGCCCAAGAATATTGCAACTTGCTAGATGCCCCTGCTTACATAGTTGAGCTGGAATGCGGCTCACTTGAGATGGCTGGAATATGCAAGTGAGTCTGTTCAGAGGTGACAGCAACATTAACAGTGACTGTGCAGCTTGAAGGTCTTTTCAGGCTGAAAGAAATGGAGAAGAGTGAGTCTGTCTCTACTTTCTGAGTTAAATAGTGCTTTATGAACTAACCTTTAAAAGTATGCCAGTGTTTTGGGAACAGTAGCTGCAAATCTTAATTATTGCTCTTGATTTCTTGTCAGGTGGGATGGGGGAAGACACAGCCCACTTAATGACTCAGGGGTGAAACTTTCATCTTTCAATTTTTACTCTGATTGATAGACTGCAGCCTAGGGCCTTGGTGTTGATAACTTATCCATCAGGTTACTGGGAATTTGGAATCCAGGAGGGAGCACCTGGAGAAAACAGTATAGTCTACTAGTTTGGGAACCAGACAAGACAATCCTTTTTTAGGATTAACAACTCCCTTACCCCATATCAAACTCCCTGGAGAACTGCAGGCCATGGGAAGAGAGTTGGACTCAGGCATTAATGAGAAGGCAGGTCAGATGTATCTCATTCTGCAAGACACCAGTGACCTTGGCTGCAATGGCCCTGGTCCTGGATGTCAACCTCCTAGGCAGCTCAGAAGGCCTTTCTTTGCCCAGCCCTTACCAACTCAGTATGCATATCCCAGTGATTAACAGTGCAGGCTCTAGACTCTTGACTGTGTGCATTCTAATTCATGTTAGGACCTTTCATATGGAAATAGTGAGATCCAGGTGTGACAAGAGACTCTGTCTCAAAAAATAAAGTGGAGAGGCTGGGGAGGATAAAGGTGCTTGCCACACAAATATGAAGACTGGACAAATATAGAAATCTAGGCAATATGGCAGCCACCTCTAATCCCAGCATTGAGGACTGGAAATAGGGGATCCCTGGGGCAAGGTGGCTAGCTATACTAACAGGAATTGGCAAGCTCCAGGTTAAGCAAGAGACTCTGCCTCGATAAAAAAGAATTATCAAAGATATCTGATGCCAATTGGTACCCACGTACATATGTGCACGTGCAGCCACTGTGTACCTACACATTCACACATATGCACACACATGCGCCCCCCCCCACACACAGAGGCAGCAGTAAAGAGACAAAGTAAAAAAAATTAAGGAGACTCCCCAATACCTGCAATGTAAACACTAAGAGGCCTCCAAAGTTCTTCATCCCCAGTGATAAGGAAATATTCCATTTCCTTCCCAATGATTTCCTCTCCCTAACCTACAAAAGCCCACCTCCTGTTTCCCTGTTCACCTTACTCTATCCCTGTCAACCACAAGACCTATCTTTCAGGCCCTCTTTCCTCTTCTTTGCATAGGCTGCTTTTTTCCAGCTGCTTCAGACCTTCCCTGTTAACAACACTTTGCCTGAGCCACCCTCTGTCATAGCACAAGGTTTTTTTTTTCTTGGCTTATTACAAACAGAAAACAAAGTATGCACATCCTGGTGTGCAGTGCAGGCTGTGTGCTCTGACTCTATCCTAATTCCTGTTAAGACTCTCAAAACTGATAGACATGAAAAGGCAAAGGTCAAAATCAAATCAGAGGGCAGAATAATAGACAGGAAGCCCAGAAATAAAGGAATGGTGAGGATAATAAGCACGTGCTGCCTTGATTAGGAACTTCTCCTATACATCCTGCTAAGGCAGTAGCCAGTGGCATCTTCCAAGGAACCCACAATAGATGGATGTGGAGTTCACAAAGTTCCATCACAGAAATGGAAATGAAAGTGACCTTGTAGGAATAGGGAGAATGCCATCAAGTCATGCAATTTTCTCCTGCCCTCTATGTCATGCAACAGCCCTTAAGCTCACATTGTAAGTGATAATTGACAGAGCAGTCCAGGATAGAGAACAGTCATACAGACTTTGGAAAATTAAGAGGTTTATTTTCCAAAGTGAAAAAAAATATTGTATAAGCAATCTTAGTGTGGCCAGGCTCTGCTCTTCTGAAGCCAGGAGTCAGAAAACTCCCACTATGGGAGGCCTGTACTGCTCACAGAATGTGAAGGAGAAAACACTGTTTACTTTCTATCGTGTTCCGACTTGGTCTTCCAGCCTCTCACAGAAAACCTCTGATCCTTGTTTCCTCAAACTCCTGCTGTCAGCCAATTTCAAGCACTACATACTCCTAGGTCAGCACCACAGAGGTGATTTATTGCATCACTGGTCCTTCTCTGGCTATCCTAGTGGGGGCAGCAGTGACTTAAACACCTGACAGCCTTGAACTATGGTAATAAGTTTCATTCACACCAGACTCTAGCTTTCTGAAACCTTACAACCCCATGGATGCAAAAATACCCCATGTCCTTAACTCCAACCTCACATATTCAGGCTTCAACTGGCTGCTGGACAACATGGTGCTCTACTGTAGTCTTGTTCTAACAGATATGGTGCTATGACTCGTA